TTTTTTTTTTTAATAGTTATTTATTTATTTACTTTTGGCAGTGCCCCCATCATGTCACAGAGCTTGATTTTGAGTCATGCAATATAGTTACAAAGATGATAGTCAGGACATCAACTGGTGGTCTGAGACTAATGAGCGAGGGGCCAGTTGGCATGGGGCTACCTGACAGGTTTCATAGTACAGGTGAGTCTTAGGAATTTAAGCTGAGTCTTATGAAGTATGAGTAGAATTTTTCCATGTGTGCAGGGAAAAGACTGTTCTGGGCTCAGCACCCATAGTATATAGTGGTTATGGCACCAGCCACATACACTGAGGCTGGCGGGTTTGAACCCAGCCAGGCCAATGGCAGTTGCCTGAAGTCTCAGCTACTTGGGAGGCTGAGGCAAGAGAATCACTTAAGCCCAAGAGTTGGAGGTTGCTGTGAGCTCCATGGCTCTCTACTGAGGATGACATAGACTCTGTCTAAAAAAAAAAAAAAAAAAAAAAAAAGACTGTTCTGCGAAGTAGGGACTGAAAATGCAAAGCAGGTGGAGACACTGAATGACCCATCTGGCTGGTAGAGATCAGCCATATATATTAGTTTATTCCTTCCTCCAGCAGGGTTTTTGAGCACCTGCATGGGGTATATGGTGACTGAGATACAGTTTCTGCCCCTCATGGAGGTTATAGTCTACTTAGAGAGGCAAACAAACATCCCTGTCATGTTATAGGAGAATCTGGGCTACATTTGAGCAATGGTCAGGGTGCTGCAGGAGTGCAGAGAGGGATTCCAACCGACCCTTGTGTGTGTGTGTGTGTGTGTGTGTGTGTGTGAACAGTGGAGTAAAGTTTTAAGGATAATGTGAATTTGGCTTAGTACATGAATTTGAGATAATACCAAGCTCTTCATAGTAAACATTTCTTTAACCTATTAGTCATAGGACTTCAGTTGAGGAGAGAGGTCAGAAACAGCAGACTTTGGGCCAGTTAGGATCCCTAAGGGAAGGAATCTAGAGGGTAATGAGCAGAAGGTGTAATTCTGAACTTTTGGAGACATTCACTTTAGGGGCTGGGAGGAAAAAGTGGTGCTGGGGAATAATACTGAGAAGGACACCTGGGACCTGGGATGGGGGAAAGAGGATCATCAGAGTCAAGGCAGGAGAGACCGCAGGTGAGATGGTCACCAGGGAGGGCCAGGGAAAAGTGGGTTGATGCAAGCAGTTGGGAAGCATTGGCCAGAGGGCAGGTTTAATTGAGTAATAGTGGGACAAGTCCTGTTGTGTGCCCAACATTGGAATCGATGACTTTGCTTATATTTTATTTCCCTGTATCAAAGTTTATCAGTTTCTCTTTTCATTGCTTCTAGATTTGAGTCATGGTTGGGATGGGCATATGTGCTCTTCTCACGAGGTTAATTTGGCTGGGGCTCTGAGGCCTTTCGTTGATGCAGTTCTGTTACCAGCTTGACTTGTCTCCCTGTTGGGAATCGGAACTTTTTTACTTCTTGCTTATTTTGCTTCAAGTAAAATCCTCTTTTAAAATCTCTAGTTAAAAATTCTATTTGAAAGTTTTTTTTTTCCTCTGACTAATTGAGGTATAATAAATAATTTAGGTAGTTGGAGAAGGATACATGTGATACCGCAGGTTACATCTCAAGATGGCAAGGTCGATGAGCTAAATGTTTAGAATTTTCTATTTTTCATCACAGAAAGTTTGAGGGTGAGACATTTTCTTTTTGAATGTTCTGTGACTTTGTGCAAACCGCTCAGTAAACATGCCTTTGTGATTCCTACTCACAGAGTCAAAGCAAAGTGGGAAGTTGTGCTATTGATGGGCTGGTCAAAAATCACACAATTTTTCTTAAACTTCTAGAACTGTGTTGTTACAGAAGCTGCAAAAATATGGAAACTGATTGGAGACTTTTGAGGGTCATGTAGCAAATGATGACGTGGGTGGCTTCTGGGGTCTGATGGCTGGGGTCACACTCCAGGTTCCACCACTTACTGTGTGGCTGTATGCCAGGTTCTTCCTCTCTAAAGTAGGGATAATGATTAATATTTTGCTTACTCTGTGTAGAATTGTAGTGGGAGTCAATGTAAAGCATTTTGAATAGTGGTTGGCAGACTTACAATAAGGGCTTAACAAATACT